CCTTCGCCTTCCCTATTCGTTAAACCACGCTGAAATACATTCACAAATCGTTCTACCTGGTCATTTGATTGTAGGTGATAAAGAGGGAGAACTTAAATGCTGGATTACATCTTGTCTGCAAAACTCTGAAAACACCATTGAAGTAAATTGCCTGTCATCATTGGTTACCATGGTTTCAGTGATGGCAAAACAGCTAAACAAACTAGTCAACTTGGCGATGGCAACTTCTGTGCATCGACAATAATAAGGTATATTTTATCGTATATTGGTCCAGAAAAGTAAACATGAATTTTTTTTCCCACAAACTTCCTGTAATCGGTCTTAGATATGAAGAAGACTATGATAGATTTCTTGCTGTGAAGATGAATTCAAAACAAGTTTGATATATCTTTTCAATTTTTTGATCCACATTAGGCTAATATGCGTAGCTACGCTAAAAAGATTTAATCTTGGTTACACCTGGATGGTTTTTATGAAATAAATTCAGTACATTTGTCGAAAACTCATTGACACAACAATTCCTTCGCTAAAAATTGTCAAACTTATACTTGGGCTAGATCTTATTACAACAGCAAAAAGTTAAACATTTTCATTTGATCAGGATTCAATAGTCAATTATATACTGGTAAATTATTCAAATGAGAGAGTTAAGTCAGTGATGAATATTTCATACAGATCATAATTTATGCATACATTGTGCATTTTTCATGATAATGGTAATTCTTGTTTCCTTATTCACACTGCTTTTCAATGAAATATCCTAGATCATTTGTTCAACATAGTTATTAATAATTTCTGACGGTCAAGGTTGTTCAAGGTTGTCAATTATGCAAACAAATGTTGATTAGAAAGATAATATTCTTGCATTTCTTTTATTGTTTATATTCAATTAAATCTTGGAAATTTGAATCGGATCCCTATTCCTCTTTATTTTTAAAATTAGATAGATGAAATATTTTTTAAATCGCATTCACTAAGAAGAAGAGACTAAAACTATGCTCTGGATTCAAAATTACGACTAGAACAGGATGTCTGTTTGGCTTCAAGAAGAACAAATCATGTGCGCCTCAAATTGCGACACTGTGCATCATCACAGAACAGAGCATAGAATGGCAGTAAAAAATTAACCTCAACTTCATCCACTTTTAAAAGTCCTCCGACAGCGTCGACAAAGAAGTAAGTTGGTAGGCAGCTGCTTCAACACCACAGTTATTGTTCCAAAAACATTCATCAACTTCATTCAACAGCTATATGCCATGCTATATGGGCATGCTACATCCCAAGTGATTCTAAGTGGAAAGCTCAGTGATGATGTCTTTCAAACAAAGACAGGAGTAAAACAAGGCTCCCACCTATTTCCACAGATCATCTTCCTGATTGTGATCGACTCAACTGGACTGCATCACGCAATACACAAATTTGAGGAGCTGTGAGAAGATGGGCATACGCTCTCTGACCAACGAAAAAATCATACGAGATTTGGATTTCACCAACGACGATGATTTATGTCTAATATCTTATGTCGCACAAACTCGGAGATCTACAGGCAAGACTAACAAGTTGACAGAAGAGGCGAAGCGAGACGAGGCGGAGCAGTGAAGCAAGACAGGACCTCCTTCACGTGAACGTAGAGAAAACATAGGTGGTGGAGATACCCAACCAAACCAAACCAAATCAAACCGAAACAACAACAACGACAACAACAAGCATCAATCACCATCAACGGAAGGAACTGAGAGGAAGTACTCTCTTTCATCTACCTCTCTATCTAGGCAGTATCGTCTCAATTACAGGTGGTGGTGGTGGTGGCGGCGGCGGCGGCGGCGATGGCACACATGAAGATGACAAAGCAGCCAGACTCAGAAACACAGCAACACAGGACTTCCTTCATCAATCTGAAATAATCAGTGTGCAGATCTACTACACTCCAATCCACTCAACTCCACTCCACTCAGCATAAAAAGTGAACAACATCCAGATTGTCAACACAAATCCAGTCAACTCACTCAGTCCTTCCAATATCATGCTTGAGAGAATTGGTGGCGCGTCATGAAAAGCATCTCCAACAAACTACAGACATACATCCCATCAACAGCTGCCACCACTCACACCCACACCCACACCCACACTCACTCGACACTGACACTGACACTGAAGATCGATCAGATCACCAGAATAATAAGAATAAGCAACAAGGAATACACTGTTGCCGACAACGAAGCAACCAAGAACCTATCGTCAAACAAACATACAGGAGGACGTGGAGATGGACTGAATTGAATTGAATTGGATTGAATTGGATTGGATTGGATTGTACATAGACTGAGGAGACGGTTTGGGGGACATCACGCATCAGATCAGGCTAGGCCAGGCCAGACCAGACCAGACCAGGCTGTCGAGTGAAAGCCACATGGGATGTGATGAGTTGGGTGTCCGAGTTGAGGGTGACAATGGGGGGGGGGATGATGTGAGGAAGAAATGAATGCTTGTAGGCAGTGGTGGAGCCAGGTTGAAAAGACTGCATTGGGTAGAGTGAAATGTCGTCTTGGTACTGAATCTCTATGTTTTACTAGGGAATCCAAAAGACAAATAATAATAATAAGGAAAATTTGAACTTGAAAGCTCTATTTCGTTAATTCACCAGTCTTTCTCCTTCTAATATATTCGTCCTGTCTTCATGTCAACAATCAGACGTGGTAATATTTGTTTCATTCTTTGTTTTGGCTGGTTATCATCTATCTACTTCAACATGTGTTCATGATAGTAAATTTCATTCTATGCACGATGCATCAATTTTGTAATCGTGCCACATTCCATATGGTTCATATTTTTACCATCTTATAATGTTGCATGAACTTACTAATTTATCACCGCATAGCTTCCTTTTTTTTCTAAGGAATAATACTAATCAGTTTGGAGGTGTTTTGAGGATTCAATTGATTTCATGATGACATTTAACTCACTGTGAGAACTGATGATTCTGAGTTCGATTCCCAACGGGTTCATGAATACGCATTACAAAGACTTCTCGTACTAGATAGAAATATCTGTGTAATGCTCGAAGGCTTTCAGTTTTTCTCCCCAAACTGAATTTATTCCATGATAACCACCATCTTGATCCTAGTTAGTTGGTATGAAACTGAAGGTGATGCAACAAAAAATGAATTGATCTTATTCTGTTAGATTTATTGTTTTGAAATTACTGAGTTTCAGTAAAGTAATTTAAATGAACAGACAGTGGACAATCCCTAAAACCTGTACGTTCAGAAAAAATCCGCATAATTTACTGAATGAGCTTTTGAACAGAATTTATTGCTTATATTCATATCAAAGTAATCCTATGGCTTTCAAACTTTCTCTATATAGTCCAACAATTCATTCATTTATTTAAATGGTAGTAAAATTCTTCATATCTCTGGTATAGGTGTTGCATCATTCCTGTTACATGTGTTAGGTGTTGACTTACTGAACATATATTTTGTGATCAATCCCCCCCCTCCATTTAGCTACATCGAATTTTAGAACTGTCACCCTATCCCACTTCAAAATGTGATTACGAGTCAATGCATGCAGAGCAATAGCCGAGTTTTTCTCAACATTACTTAGTAAGGTCTATCATTGTGTGGTACGTTAAGTTTTTGTGTTCTACTATTTTAATTAACCGAGATCGGCTACTATGACCTACATACTTGACCTCATAATCATTACATGGTATTTGATAGACTAGGTTATTTTTCCTAATTTGCCGTATTATATCTTTTAGCTTGCATCGTTTCTCTCTGACTGAGTTCGTGGGTTTAAACGCTAACCTAATCCCAGCATTGTTGAGAATTCTACGTAAAATTCCCGATTTACCTTCTTTATACGACAACACTAAAGAAGATTTGAAATTCCTCTTAGGCATTTTGTAATCACAACTAACATTATCACTCTATCTCTTATCAGTTCCTTATAAACGTTTTAGTATACTCCACAGGATAGTTCAGAGACTTGGCGCGTTACGAAAGGGATTTCCAACAAACTACAGACATTCATCAACAACTGTCTACGCTCGCTACTGAAGATCAGATGGATTGCCAGAAAGAATAAGCAACAAAGAACTCTGGAAACGAACCAACCAAGAACCTATCGCTCAACAAATATGCACTGGAAGGAAGTGGAGATGGATTGGGCATACAGTGAGAAGGCCGACTGGGGACATCACGCATCAGGCCAGGCCGTCGAGTGAAACCCCGATGGGAAGCGACAATTTGGGCGTCCGAGAGTGACATGGAGGAGGTGGTGCGAGGAGGAAATGACAGCTTATGGGCTGTCGTGGAGCCAGGTCCAAAAGATTTCAGAGAAGAGAGTGGAATGGAGACGTGCTACTGAACCCCTATGTTCCATTAGGAACCCAAGGGACTAATAATAATAATACAGGATAGTTATTAGGAATTAGTGTATCTGTGATATATTTGATTTCCATATTTAGGCTTTCCTACTTAATAATCGAACTCCTAGGCCGAGTACCTAAACGTTTTATCAAGCCCACTTTGATAGATATAAAGTGAGATGATGTGAAATCTAAGTATCGATTCAAATGTGTTTGTTCCCTATAAACACTGGTATCTAAGCTTCCACCTTCTCTCCTCTTGATTTTGCAATCCAACATAAGTAATTATCCTTCTTCCTTTTCTTATTCATAAATGAAGTGGATTGCATCTACTATAGAGTTAGTGTATGTGTGTGAAAGGACCTCTGGATGTGTTTTGATTTCAGCCCAGTAATTGTGTCCTCTACATATTACCACCATACTTTTTAGGTGGGTTGGAATGTTCCCAATGTTATCTGTTCCTAACTGTTCATAAATATGTCTGCTACGATCGGGGATATTAAAGATCCCATCTCTGCTCCTACTGTTTGTCTTTTTTTCTTTATTGGGAAACATGTTTGTCAGTTAAATCTTGGTATTCATGCAACCAGTCTCAAAATATACACTTTTTTTATTTTTCTACGCTCAGAACCATTTCAAATTATTGTGAAGCGTCCATCTCCTTTCCGGAAGAATTTCATCCTCCGTATACCCCCAGGTAATTCATGTATTTCCAGTTGATTTGTGATATTTTTCGATAAATTATTAAAATGCTAACAAATGTTCTTAGTTGATTTTGTTCAACCACTTAAAAGGTTTATATAGGTATAATACTTGGGCACTATGGTAGAATTTAATTCCATATTACATTTGTTTATTTGATATATAACACACAGTGATACAGTATTATTTACTCGACGACGATGTTTCCAGCATACATTATTACTGCTCATAATCATATCAAAGTAATCACAAAGCATTTTCATTTTCTGATTCTTATAGTCACCTCTGTCACCTCACATGAGTAAAGTCTCCCATATCTCTGATATACGTGTTGCGTCATTCCTATCACATGTGTTGGGTGTTGGTTCACTCGATGAACAAAGATTCACTAATCAATCTCTCCTTTCCCCCCCCCTCTCTCTCCCTCTCTCTCTCTATCTCCCCACCTTATTATATTGCACTTAGGCATTGTCGTTTCATCCCACACATTCTATTCTATAATTGTGTGCTGTTGCGTGCACTGCAATAGCCGAGTCTCCTTCTAGATTATTGATCTCATACAGCTCTGCCATTCTACATTCACCTAATTTCCTATATTCCACTATTCTCACTGACCCCAACTGCCTACTCTCACCTATGTACTTGATCTCACTCACAGTCATTACATGCAATTCAATAGATTACATTATTTTGCTCAACTGGATCTATCGCATCATTAGTGCAGCTGATAAAGCGTATCTGTGAGTGAGTTTGTAGGTTTGAATGCCTCCCTAATTCCAGTCTTATTGAGAATCCTATGTGATGTTTCCCATGTTCCTTCCTCATAAATGGTAACACGGTGGAGATTGTGAACTCCTTTCTACTCATGTTGTCCTTATTCTTCGTACTGATGTGACTCTTATTATTTTGTTTCTAGTGTGTTCTTACGAATTTCTCGATAGAGTGTAGAGGATAATTTAATTATTAAGTATTGGTGTTTCTTTTATGTGTTTTGGTTGCTTGTTTAGGTTCTTGAAGTGACTAGTCAGCTTTCTAGCTCTGTCATTTAGACATTTGACCTACCCTTCCTTAACTGACATTGGATGAGATGATCTGAAGTTTGGATAACCGCTAACCTAACTGACCCCGACTAGCTAGTTTCACCTATGTACTTGACCTCAATCACAGTCATTACATGGGATTTGATTGATTACATTGTTTTACTTAATTGGATCTATCGGATGCTTAATGCAGCCGACAAAGTTTATCTCTGAGTGAGTTTGTAGGTAGGTTTGAGTGGCACTCAAAAGGTTGACCAAAGAAGATACTTCCTAGGTAATACTTTGGATGCATTTTATAAAATTATGATAAAATTCCACTGCTTCTTGTAGGAAAATATAAATAATGTGTTGCACAAATCAACTATGGTAACTTTTTCTTAAGCTGAATGCTTACAATGTAAGGTAAACTAGACTTGCCATAACCTGAATGGTGTTGATAAAAAAAATGTCTGGAAAACATTTTCTGCTTTATTTGGAATTCGAAATTTGACGAATAATTACTACAGGTTCACTTGTCAACCATCAAATGCATAGAAACCAACAATACCGAAAGTTATTTCATTTCATGAAAAGGATCTTTCCTGTTTTAAAGGAAACCATGTTAATCACTGAACTTGAAGTGACTGCTGCTCGGTTCTAGATCTCATCAAGAACACTATTACTTACTAAGGTGCAGGTTAATCCAGTTGATGAGTTTAAACTAGGATGAAACATGTAGCCTGAATTCCTGTGCTAGTCAACACAAGGTGATTTCCACTACATTCATCAAAAGCTTAAAAATATGTTTACTATGTGAAAGTGTAGACGTAACTAGGATTGATATAACCTGTTAATATGTAAATTCCGAAACATTTTGTTACTTTTTATCGTGCAGCAATTTAGAAAGATTCATCTTCTATCACCTAAAGAGTTGTGGCCAAAGAATTAGACTTTTAAGCTTTACAGAGATAGAAGGCATATTCAATGTTATGAATGCAAATGTTTGCTGGTATTCCCATCCTTCAAAACTTTGAATAATGTTTTGGTAAAACTTTCCGTTACATCCTCCTCCATATGGGATCTGTATAAACACTCACCCTCATCTGATCCCATAGTATTGATGAAACTGAACTTAAGAACTGTACCTAGTTTTGTATATCGGCCAAAGTGTGGAATTTTGTTTTTACCACTTGACAGCAGTTTCACTACTACTACTACTACTACTACTACTACTACTACTACTACTACTACTACTACTACTACTACTACTACTACTACTACTACTACTACTACTACTACTACTACTACTACTACTACTACTACTACTAACAGTAATATTATTAACAATCACTGTATTCTAGACAATAACTTTTAGTACAGTTTAGAATTCTCAGTGTAATTGTTACTATTATTAGTCCCTTGGGTTCCTAGTGGAACATAGGGGTTCAGTAGCACATCTCCAGTGCACTCTCTTCTCTGAGATCTTTTGAACCTGGTTCCACGACAGCCCATAAGCTCTCATTTCCCCCCCGCACGATCTCCTCCATGTCACCCTCACCACGGACGTCCAACTCGTCGCTTCCCATGGGGATTCCACTCGAGGGCCTGACGCGTGATGTCCCAGTCGGCCTTCTCAGTGCATGGCCAATCCATCTCCACTTCCTCCTGCATATTCGTTGGGTGATAGGTTCTTGGCTGTATCGTTCTCAGAGCTTCTTGTTGCTTATTCTTTCTGGTCATCTGATCTTCAGTAGCGAGCGTGAGCAGTTGTTGATGAATGTCTGTAGTTTGTTGGAAATCCCTTTCGTGACGCGCCAAGTCTCTGAACCGTTACGAAAGGGATTTCCAATAAATAGCAGACATTCATTAACAACTGCTTACGCTCGCTCTCAGTGTAATACTTCAACAAATTTACTTCTTGTACAATATTTTCAAATCAGACAACCATGGCAGTTAAATAATGTTTCTAATAATTGTGCAATAAGCAGTAATATACAATGATCAGTTATTTTTGAGTTATCGTGTAGTTCGTGAGTACTTTTTTGCACTGGAAGGTGAAATGAGCACCTGTAAGTCTAGTGTTGGGAATTCTTCTAACTAGTTACAGCTAACTATTCTTGTAATTTCTATATGATATGCTGTTGTGTACTCAGGAGCCCATTTCTATCTGCTGTTATGTTTACTCATAATTCTGTTGTTAACTTATCTAGCGATAGGTTGAAGAAACTTCAAGAGTCGACTTGAGCACGTCTTGAGATTTGCTGACGTTTGAATGATTAAAATAATTTAAAAAGGAGAAGTATGATGAAGAATAAAAACTTTAGTGACACGAAATTTAAGTAGGCCATCTGTAAAGCATAAAGTAGGCGCTGGATACCGATCGAATTCGTTGCTAATATTTAGCTGCTGAAACTTAAATCCGTTCATCAATACGTAACACCGTTGGCTTGTACGCCGTGCTGATGATTAATGCCCTGAAGTAGACCGTCTACCTTCTCGGATTTCCATCGACTGAATATTATTGCCTCATCCTATGTTCACTTCTTGTATAATTTTTACAGATGTAACAAGTTTGGTCACTTGTATGTATATTCCTACATCTTTTTAAAAAAAACCCTATTTAGTTACATAGCTATGAATGAGTGACAGAAATATCTCTACGTGATCATTATTGTTCCTTTTGCCAAAGTAAACACAATAACAGCTAACATGATTGTAAAATGATACTTTTGTTCATCTTTTGAAGTGTCACACAAACCTTTATCAACCTCATTCAACAGCTATACGAAAACACCACATGCCGAGTGATTCACAATGGAAAGCTCAGTGATGATGCCTTTCAAACAAAGACAGGAGTAAAACAAGGCTCCCACCTATTTCCACAGATCATCTTCCTGATTGTGATCGACTCAACTGGACTGAACCACGCAATACACAAATGTGAGGAGCTGTGAGAAGATGGGCATACGCTCTCTGACCAACGAAAAAATCATACGAGATTTGGATTTCACCAACGACGATGATTTATGTCTAATATCTTATGTCGCACAAACTCGGAGATCTACAGGCAAGACTAACAAGTTGACAGAAGAGGCGAAGCGAGACGAGGCGGAGCAGTGAAGCAAGACAGGACCTCCTTCAGGTGAACGTAGAGAAAACACAGGTGGTCGAGATACCAAACAAAACAAAACAAGGCAAAACCCAAACAACAACAACAAGCATCAATCACCATCAACGGAAGGAACTGAGAGGAAGTACTCTCTTTCATCTACCTCTCTATCTAGGCAGTATCGTCTCAATTACAGGTGGCGGCGGTGGCACACATGAGGAGGACAAAGCAGCCAGACTCAGAAACACAGCAACACAGGACTTCCTTCATCAATCTGAAATAATCAGTGTGCAGATCTACTACACTCCAATCCACTCAACTCCACTCCACTCAGCATAAAAAGTGAACAACATCCAGATTGTCAACACAAATCCAGTCAACTCACTCAGTCCTTCCAATATCATGCTTGAGAGAATTGGTGGCGCGTCATGAAAAGCATCTCCAACAAACTACAGACATACATCCCATCAACAGCTGCCACCACTCACACCCACACCCACACCCACACTCACTCGACACTGACACTGACACTGAAGATCGATCAGATCACCAGAATAATAAGAATAAGCAACAAGGAATACACTGTTGCCGACAACGAAGCAACCAAGAACCTATCGTCAAACAAACATACAGGAGGACGTGGAGATGGACTGAATTGAATTGGACTGGATTGGATTGGATTGTACATAGACTGAGGAGACGGTTTGGGGGACATCACGCATCAGATCAGGCTAGGCCAGGCCAGACCAGACCAGACCAGGCTGTCGAGTGAAAGCCACATGGGATTTGACGAGTTGGGTGTCCGAGTTGAGGGTGACAATGGGGGGGGGATGATGTGAGGAAGAAATGAATGCTTGTAGGCAGTGG